AAGGATCGTCTCCAACGTCGTATTTCACGTTGGACCCAAATTTTAGCACGCATTTAAAGAGGGACAATTCCAAGGTCACGCTGGTTTGTAGACTCCTTAAGAAATTGCTCTAGTGTTGCACAGTCTGGGCTGAAGACACATTTACTGTCGGTATTAATGTGTAAACTTTGTGAATCTCACGAATGTTTCTATTTTCATCTGTAACCTTCACAGCAGGTAATTGTCCTTTTAAAGTCATAACATTTAAATAAAACGTGTTTGTTTAGCAACGCTAGGCCGTGGCGTGAGGTAAGTGGCGCTGTGGTTCTTCAAACAACAATAAGCTTGTGCAGTGCAGGTGCAGTTCAAGCTCTTTTCACACTTGTTGCGTTGTTTTCTTGTTTTTCTACGTGTTTTTTGAGTCATTGCATTCCTGCTAAAAAACACTGATTACCTGAGGCTCAACCTCGGTGAAATAGCAGTTTAATGTTTTTTTCTCAGCAACAGCAACTCAAGCAGAGTAATATGATTTAATATAACAGCATTATGGTTTTGTTATGTTGTATGTTCTTTCTGTTTGCCTGAAAACTGTTTGTTGTTACCTTGTTCGTCAGCTAGATGTCAGCAGCAGACAGTCTTTTGTTAATAAAGCGGACCACAGGGAAATTATTTTTACTGTCAAATCAGAAATTAGACACATTAGCGCTTTACTTTTAAGTCCAATGCAAGAAGTCACTTAATGCAGACAGCTTATGGTTGTTTTAATGACATTGGTTCTAAATACAAGGTTTGTCTTTACTCTTGGCTATATAATCAAAACTGATTATATAGCCTTCACTGCATTTGATTAATGACCATAGTATTGATTAAGCAGTGTGTTTATTGATTCTAAATTATATGGAATACAATAAAAATACCATTTTCAGCTTTTGATATGCATCTTGAATATTCTGATTGAATCTTTCAGTATTCATCAGCAGAGGGCACTGTGCCTTTTCTCCTTCTCGGGAGATCAGATTTGTCTTTTGAGCTGTGAAATTCCTCTGGCGGCTCCCATGAAGACGTCTCCTGAGTTGCTTGTTTTGCCTGCCTGTGTATCCTACGTCGGTCCTTAGACCACTGTTAAATGTCAAACAAAGCAACAGTGCAGCTCTGTGTTTGCAGCCTGACAGAGGAGGGTGCTCAAGTCCAACATGAACACAATGACTGTGATGATTGTGACACTGTTTGAATGTGACTGTGTGCCACAGCTGGACTGGAGCCCTGCTGCTGCTGCTCAGACACCTGATGAGAGGATTCCTTTATTGCAAGCGCTGCTAAAGGTGATTCGCGTCATGTTGCAACTAATCAAAATAGTGTCGTTTTCTGTGTAATTTAAGCTATCAGTTTGGAACTCTCTAGGGATATTCTCTCCGGGTTTATTGTGTATTTTTACAGGTGGATCTATTCTTTAGGCTTACGTTTGTTTATACAGTTAAAGCTTTTTGTGTGCGGTTATCACATTGTAATTGTTTTTTTATCTCAACGTTGGTAGGTGAGCATGACGTGCTGTAGCTTACTGTGGTGGAGATGTAAACCTTGTTATCCCTCTTGGTGCCACCAAAACCCCTGCACAGAAACCTTCATTTGAATATTAAGATTTTGGTTTTGGCGAACTGAATGCAGGATTCTCGATGCTTACTGTTGGAATATAATTTACCTTGTAATTCAATCCCCTTTGTTGGAAAACCTTAGCTAATTCTTTAAGTACGGCTTATGTCAGTTTGTGCCATTTCGATCTAAGAAAAATCTCCAGTATGATAAAATATACAATCCACGTGACCAATACATATCAGAATACGCTTTATTTATTAGCTGATATAAGGGATCTAAAAGCTCCTCTTCCCTCTCTCCTTCTATAAGAATTCACATCTCATTAATGCACATCACTAATTCCACCTCTTTTTGGGCTTTCTCTCCTCACAGGTTTCTATGAATCATTGTTTTTACATGTCATTTAGCTGACGCTTTATCCAAAGCGACTTATAATAAGTGCATTCAACCATAAGAAGACAGACACAAAAGAACAAGAAAGTGCAATTTCATCAAATAAGCCGACCAACAAATCGACTTTGTTGGTCTTTGTAGTCGAGGTAGAGTCTGAAGAGGTGTGTCTTTAGTTTGCGGCGGAAGATGCGAAGGCTCTCATTCAGGGAGACCTGCCAGGAGAGTTACAGTAGTCCAGGCGGGAGATGACAAGAGCCTGAATCAGTACCTGCGCTGCCTTCTGAGTGAGAAGGGGACGTATTCTCCTGATGTTGTAGAGCGTGTATCTACAGGATCGTGTTGTCGCAGTGATGTTGGGAGTCAGGGAGAGTTGGCTGTCAAGTGTCACGCCGAGGTTCCTGGCAGTCAAAGTGGGCGTTAACGTTATATCTGGAACCTGGTCCGGCCTCCTGCCGTGGCCCTGCTGACACCTGCTGCTGGTCACATTACTATCACTGTCATCATAATCCAACATTACTGGTTTTGTGTCTTCCCTAAAGTATTTGTGCGTTGCATGGTCTCTGTCTCTCAGACATTCCTCTCCTCTGGGCACAAATCTGTCTCAAAGTGAGAAGTACAGTAAGAGCAAAACTCATTCTGCTGAGCTTATCTACTACAGCCTTAGCGAGCATTGATTTCACACCAGATCAAAGCAATCTTCTATTTTCTGACCAGTTCAATACTGCAGATTCAAAGCAAAAAGAAACAAAGGAGCTTTTTTTAAATAGTTTTCCACAGATGCTGGGCTGATTTAAACAACATTTTCCCATAATGACCAGTTTTTTAGATGCCCCACAGTTGTACTCTATCGATCTGCTCAGCGGTCTTTGCTGAGACAAGAGTGACAGATACTGTGAGCTGGAGACACCACAGTTGTACCATCCTGCACTTTTCCTTCTCCTTTAATAAAGAGTTTAGTTTCTTATGCTCTCGCATAGTGAGGGGAAACTGATTTATATACTCTCCGCTTGCCAGGTTATAGTTTCATTTTTAAAATTACCTTATTGTTAAATACATTCAACGCAAATAAATACATAGGCCTAATAATTAAGACGTATGTATTCATTTGCATATAAAATGTCCATCCATTGGAATTACATTTTAAGTGATAATTACATTTGCTGGTCAAAATAACTTCAAGTAACAACCAAGTAAGAATTACATTTATTTAAAAAAATACCAGTAAGCCAAATGAGTTTTAAATATACAATAAATTGGTATATGCTTTTACCATGAATGAGCCAGTTTGTTTTAAATTGATAAACATGTGTTTGTATTCACTGTTAATAGAGCTTATTTCTGATATTCATAACGATTAGGTTTATGCGATCAACTCAATTAACTCAAAATACATACAATTAATATGATTTTCTTAATAAACCCAATGTATTTTAAAATGTAACCCCACATATTTACAAATAAAACTTTCATAAATAAATAGAACCTTTCCAAACAGTATTGGATTTGAATCAGTTAGACTTTCAGAAGTAGGGAAACGCTCCAGGAAATCCCTCTTCAAATCTATTGAAAAGTATATTTATTGCACCTCCTGTAATCCTCTTCACCTCACCAGCAAGAATAACCAATCTCCATTTAGAACTCTGAAAACATGTGTCAACTTTAGCATAGAGCAACTAAAACCTTTCCCATCCATAAAAAACATTCACCCCAAACCTGACTTTTTAAACTTTTAAGTTTTACATTGTTATCAGGATTAGTCATGGCCTTCTAGCTTGTTCCCCAATTTTGATCACAGGATTTATTCCTCTGCATGAATACATTTTTTAAAAAGGCAGCTTGATATGTGCACCCTTTGTGACGGGGATTCTATACTGGACACATCTGATAGGGAAATCCTATCAGATCCCTAATTGTGGGCGGATTTTGGATTCAGTGAAGTCACGACATTCAAACTCCGGAGCCAACTGTGACCTGGTGAGGTAGAAAAGGCGTTGCCTTGTTTCCCTTTCTCTGTCAAGCTTTGGAACTCTTAAACACTGTTATGATTTAATTACAGCAAAACTAGTTATTTCCACAAAAACAGATTACACATTTGACCCCTTTTCCCTGTCGAGTTGAGTTTTTTCACATCGGGTGTCATCATACTTGAAAGCGGCCGTTTTGTAATGAAATATTCTGTGTTCTGTTGATTTGATTATTGGGGAAAAACCTCGGTGGGTTTGTGTCCTACTGAAAGAAATTCCTTGCAATGCGGCGCTCCATTTTAACATGATTTTCCTGCCACAGGTTTGAATTGCTTCTCAATCATTCCAGAAGCAGCCCGATGTTGCCAGTCTTGAGTGTGTCTCGTTGATTTCGGTGTGGCTTGTGTTGCTGATGGATTAATCGGCCTCACAGCTTTTCTGTGAAACCATCAAAACGATTGTCAGCTCAGTTCAGATAGAGACGGAACGTCTGCGCAGACAATCTGCTCACCTGAACCGTCCATCTGTGATGCACCACGATCTCCTGCGCATTGTTCACCAAGCGTGTTTCAGCTTCAGCAGAGGCAATGATTTCCAAGGCTGCCTGGCTGCTGGAGGCAGGTGAAACAATAGCTTAAAGCAGGCTTTGGGTACGTGTGAATTTAAGCAGCTGGGGTTCTTTAGACAAAGGCTGTTTTTTTTTTTCTTGGTTCATCGCCTATTTAAAGAAAAAGTGACAGCAAGATGTTTTCAGTCCAGTTTTTTCCCCTTCAACAGGATTGTTCCAGTATGTTACCAGTCACAAAGCACTCGTAATGGAGTGGGAAATTATCCTGACACACATGATTAAAAAGCAAAAGGAGATGGAATAAAAATACATTTGTTTAGAGTGATTTGGTTTCTGTGTCTTGGTGCTGCTCTTTTTTTCTCCCTTCTTCGGATTATTCCTGCGAGACAGAAATATGTCTGACAGGATGTAACGCTGTAGCCTCTTTCAGTGAGGCTTCTTACTCCCTCTTCTTCTTCCAGGCTCTGTTCTAATCGCACGCAGCTGTCAGATACAGGACAATATAGATTTTCAAAGATTATTTTATTCGTGCTAGAAGCGTTTCACTTCTGTAAAAGTATTTTGTTCCAGAAGTCATGAAGCTGAAAGTTTTTTCAAAATGTGTATATGCGTAGCATTAATGAATGTAGCTTATGTGCACCAAAGGCGTAATTCAATATATTACCATTAATATGGTATGATACAAACCAAGACAGAACATCCAAATATATCCGTTTCATCTTGTATTCATTTAATGTTTTTTAACCGAACCGCAGCCTGACAAACGTTTACCCAATTTGTCACCCACAAGTGACAAATCAATAGGTTTAAATAGATTTAGCATACACATGAACAAAACATAACAAATAGAGGTACATAGCTTTAAGAAAGATGAGTAAAGAATAAGGGATAATACATTCATACGACTTGTCCATGTGCTTAAGTTTGTTCACCCAAGCTAATTGACTTTATTAAGCCATGAAACAGAAATCCAGTCCCATCATTCTTCTTCCACTATCCTGTGGGACTCGTGGCTTTATAAAGATACTCTCACTGTTTTTTCTATTTTTATTTTCTTGACCTTTTAACTGATGAGGTTGAGACACTTTGATCTCAGGCACTTTCTGAAATCATGAGGTGGTCGTCTTGCAAACACATGTAACTGTTCTTTTCTAAAGCATGACATCCGCTAAATACTGTACATCATTATTTAAAGGCGTTTTCTCTTCTCTTATAGATACATTTTTTCAGTAAAAGTTTTTCATTTTGGGAAATACTCTTATTCGCTTCCTCAATGAGAGTTACATAAAAGATTGATATCGCTCTCACACTTGTCCGTTAAATTCGAATTCGCAGCTAGGAGAAGAGCATCTTAGCATAATGACTGGAAATGGGGAAAATGAAATCACGTTGTCACATCTCAAACAGTAGTCAATTATTGAGGAATAAACGGGAGTATATTTTTTACACAATAAAAACAGGTTTTGGTTTTACAAAGTTCTGCGCCAGACTACTTCTCGGCTGACCACAAAGACTTCCAAGAGTCTTCTCTTCACTGAGAGGTTGGCAGGAGACCAGATTATTGCCCAAAATGTGGAACGATTCCTTTGATGCATTATTGTCAAATTAATCTATAAATGAGAGCAAACAGAAAAAGACTTACATGCAGATCATTTTGCAGGCTTCTTGTTCAAGAATGAAGGAAAAACAGCAAGTGAATATAATTTGAGACGCTCCCATGACCCAACCTGATTCAGTTGGTACGAGCTGAAACATGCCAGCGTCTGATAGACCCATACGTGAGGAAATGATCTTTGTGAAAACGTCTGAAGATGTTTACCCCCAAGAACAACGATGGTGATCTTCAGCCTCGACTTCGACAAATAATAACATTATTTTCCCACAAATTAATTAATCTTCTCTCGGTGAGAAAGTGTCGGTGACCCTCAAGTGATGCGTCATAAACTTAAGTATTATAAATTATTGAGACAGTTTGTACTGATCTGTCTGAATTCCTAACATTTGAAAACTGACTTCATGCCATTGACAAAGTTTGTTTTAGTAAATGCACAATATACAACTTTTGTAGGACAATTGTAGGAAATAAAACACCATCCAAAATCATTTTTTTACTCCAAACAGTGAGGAATACAGTACAAAAACAAAATTCAACCTCAATAACAATTTGAATATCTATTTTCTTTAATTTACTTAATCCTCATAGAAACCGATGTATGTTGTCATATACTGTGAAAATCTTTGAGGAAAATGAATATATATCATTGCAAAAACCTACCTTCTCTATACATCCTTATATTCCATCACATGGAAGCATATTAGGTACTTTCAACACTTCAGTCAATAAAACATCTGATACATATTTTCACGTCCACCCTCTGCAATCCTTGATGTCCATGTGGTTGAGAAAAGCGGTATCGTCGGGCATTTATGTACAAGTTAAATGTCTCACGGCATGTTGGACTATTTCACCAGTAAAGGCAAAAGGAACGAGTCCGTTTCCCATCGACTAAGTTGTTTAAAGGGATGCAGGATGGATGCAATATGGCCATCGCATTGACACAGATGATCTCTCATCTGCCCGCTGATGAAGTACAGCAGGAGATAGAGACCTACAGGGTGGTGTAGATGTAGACAAAGATGATGACAACCAAGTTGAGAATGGTTCCAATGATCCCCAGCATGGCCAAGATGCTCTCCTCCTTACTTTCCTTGTCTTGGATTCCCTTTTCCTCATCAGTGTGGAGAGTGTTTACCATTTTCCCCGGGAAAAGACTGCAGTTTTCGTCTCAGACTAATCTGATCAGATGAGAGAGAGAAACAGTCCTTGAGTTAGATGGTATTGCACACCGATGAATGGCATTAAAATGAAAAGAGGTAAGAAAATACAAAAGCACTAATTGGCCTGTAGGTGTGTGAATGTGCCTGTGAAACTAGAGTCAATGCCAGCTAGAATTGTGAGAGACATGGGACACACCCTGGACTCTCACTTGTCCCTCCAGATTCTAGCTGGGATGGACTCTAGTCCCGCGACCTCGTACAAGGGTCCAGTACAAGATATCAAATGGATTTTTGCCAAGTCCACAAAAAACTAAAGTTAAAGTGTGTTGTAGTTCAACGTTATTATTTAGGAGATTTTGTTTTGATCTTGTTTTGTATGTCAAATTATGTTGCTGGTAAAACATTTCATTTAAAATATTCATCCTTCGGCCATTGCAAGTTTTTTTTTTCTTCTTTTTTTACAGTGTAGCCTTGTAGCCTCAGCTGTGTTACTTATTCTACTGCTGTGGTCAGATACAACTTGCCAGCTCCCATGTGTGACTTTTCCAGTAGATGTCTTTACGCGTGTGTGTGTGTGTGTGTGTGTGTGTGTGTGTGTGTGTGTGTGTGTGTGTGTGTGTGTGTGTGTGTGTGTGTGTGTGAGAGAGAGAGAGAGTTGTATTGATTAGTGTAGCCCGGAGTGGATTATTAGAAACTAGCTGTATGTTTTCACCCCGCTGGCACAGCAGCTTGTGCAAGTCGGCATCCAAATATCTCTCAGGAGAAAAGCACTATTTCTGCGGGTCAGTTTTATTCGCCGACTAGCACCTGTAAGGCATGTAAGCTATTGCAGAGTAAAAAAAAACCTTTTATCAGGGAAAAGTTCCCCTTGGTGAAAAGCAGAGATAGATAAATTATTTTTTAATCTCTAGCAGAGGTTTGCATAAAGATGCACCACCTGGGTACACAACATACCTTAAGGCGGATACACTGACTTGCAATAATAAAAACAAGTGTTGGCTATATTTTAATGCTATTATGAAATAAATCATTATGCTAAATTATATTCAACAACTTGTTTCCTTTGGCATCTGTATTGCTTTCTGTTATCACACCTGAAGATGATTAGAAAAATGTGTGGTCCACCCACATTATCCCATGCAAAGGGAAAAGGTAGAAATCAGTTTAACTAGATCAAACTAGATTCAACTGTTAGTTATGTCCACTATGAAAGGACCACTGTCTAGCATGGGCTTATGTTTAGGGCTTCTTATACATTTATAAAAAGACATGTCATAATGTTCAAAGTCAAGGGCCTTTTGTTCAGGCTTGACTTATAAAAGGTCAAGAGCATGAAACGGATTGTGCTCACTGGAAGGGTAACACCCCACACTCTGATTGATCATAGTCATGCATGGTGCTCTTGATGCACTTAAAACCCCGTCAGGTTGTGTCTCTGTGTTTAAGGGTGTTCTCCTGTGATCTGTAACAATGGGTTTTGATTGCCTCTCGTGGGGACCACTATAAACGGGGCTTCCCTCAACACAGATGGAGATGTTTGTGTGGCGCGCTGGATGTGTCCTCGCGTCAAATTGGGGTCTCCACTCATTTCCACTCAGGAAACATTTCCACTCTAAACTTTTTTAATTGTTTAAATATAAAACCAGGGACAAAAAAAAAATGTCCAAAAGTTGCTTTTCTTTTACTTCATCGCCCCAGATTTATCTTCAGACTGTGAAGGTTGGCAACCAAATGGACTAAACTACATAACTGTACACAAATAGGCTAAAACTAGCTTCATCTTGACCAGCTACATTAAGATGGTCTTTACATATTGATGCCTCCGTATTAATGATCCCATAAAGTCATACATGATGATATATCTGTCGCAGGGGACATTTCACTACAAGTACTGTCACATTTAATGACATGTAACTAATAATACTTAAAAGAAGGATCTTAATCTTAATTCCTCCACCTCCATTACCAAGGAGGTCGAGGAATGATAGTGGAGTAGGAGGGTCCAGACTCTTTTGAAAAAGCAGAGTACCACAGAGTACAGCTGTGCCTCACACACTCAACCTTTTTTTTAAGTAGAAGCCGATGCTGGCATCCTGCAATGTGCCATAATAATGAAGCACTCATAATGACTCTCTGTGCCTGTTAAACACAGAGGACAAGCTGAAAAGGAAAGTCACATCAATATACTCACATACAGCTCGGCATATCAATTGAAAGGTTAATCCAGCCGTGATACAGTACACAGCCTCCACTTATCCACCTCTTATTGATTAGTAATTAGACCCTGTGTTATTCTGAGGTGGGATTGAGGTATCGCAGTATGGATTAAGAGCTCATTTGAAACCATTCCAACACTTCTATTCTTCTTCATTCCCAACTGTGATGAATCTTATCAGGTTTGTTGTTGTTACGGAGGCTTCTGTTTCAAGTATGATACATGCGGCATCTCTGGATCCTTTCAAATGGAAATGCATCTCCTTGAGATGTTTCTCCGTAAGAAGGCGAGCTCACACCTCCCTCTTCGCCTCGTACAGAAACAGCCAGGAACGTATTTGTGTAAAAAGAGCAGACACACAGACAACGAGAGAAAGGGAGAGGTAGAAAAAAGGGACGGTGCCACACCTGGAACAACAAAACAGCCTCTCCTGCTACACCTGACAGGAGCTAACGTCCTCAGATCGGATCAGTGGAGAGTAAAACCTTTTGCCACTTGAATAATCACGAGCATGTCAAACGACACACAGACGCTAACAGTCTGACGGGCATGAATTGCTATTGGCATTGTTATAAAATGGAAAATAAGCAAACAGCCCCCTCCTGAGTGTGTCAACACACACACATACACACACTCACATTCAAAGGTTGTCGCCGTGACATGCTGACAACACAAAGACGTAAACGTAATGTCTAGTAACAATGCACATGTTTGCACAATTTTAAGAAAGAAGACGTAGGAAAGAAGTCAGAAGATTTCCCAGTTTTCTTGTGGAATCAGATGAGATTCTGGCATTAGTGTGACCCATTTTCTACAACCTGTACCCGTTGTTCTGGGAGTAGGACGGAAGTGACAGATCTATTTTGGTTTGGAAAAGAATTGCATTCACAAAGAACTTTAATTAAAAGGATCCTATTAGAGAAAAGTTCAGATATGCAGGAAACTACGGCTTGAATTTACGAACGTGGAATTAGACATAAAAGAAGATTGACGTATTATTATTTTAAAAAAACATCTCCATAGGGAAAGCATAGTAAGTGGGCACAAAAACAGGTTGACATAAGCTTTGTCTTGGAATTCAGTTGAACTGTTTTACATTTGAACAAAGAACTAGTTGAGTCACAAATGACTTGTCATACCTCATTTATGATAGTACTTCTATTACGTAAAAAGCAATTGAAACTTGTTAGCAACATACATTATGAGCAACTCCAAGAAGGGCCATGTGGAGTTTTATTTCTTTACAAACCCGGCTAATAGTATAAAGTAAGAGTAAGGCAGAAAACACAAAAGGAAACCGTTTTGGTTCAGGGTGTCTCTGCTGCCTTAATCAATCATTCATACAAACAAAACTCAGCCTGGAAATATCATACAAATATAAAGAATATCAATGTTTCATAATACATAATAAATTATAGCTACACTCTGTTTTCGCATTTAAAAACGGTAAAAGATTCATTTTGTTTGACTGTTCACAGTTGTGCACATAATGAAGAACAATGAAGCGCTGGGTGACATCATAGACCTTACCTTGCAAAGCATCAGGAGTAGCATAACATTTAACATGCTGGAGGCTGGCGTCTTCCTGTGGTGCACAGACATCCCCGGCAACTAAGGTGAAAGTCGACCCCTCTCATCCTTCGGCTGTGGAGGGGCACAGGATCCAGAGAGGGAGGGCTCGTCTTCCAGGCGGTCCACTTTTAGGGCTCTGTGTGGATGTCGTACCCTGCAGCGCTCCAGCGTCTCCTCCCCAAATTTCATCTCACTAGTGGCCAAGTTCTAGCTGCCGTCACTTTCTCCTCCTCAGTCTCGTAAGAGCTGAAAACTGTGCTGCCCACCTCCTCTCGGCTCGTCTTCTTTCTCTGCTTTGTTGACGTCTCACCTCTGCTTCCCCTTGTCTTCTTCTTCTTCTCGTCTGTGAGGAAGGACGCTGTCCGGTTGAAGAATGAAGTCAGTTGATGGGCAGGTTTTATGTGGCCATTTCAACCTTTTTTTTAAAAATGTATTCCGCAAAGCTTAAAAAAAAAAAAGCGATTTCAGTCTAGCCTCTTGTGCCAATAACCCCTTGTCAAGCCTTGATAAAGGCTCATCTCTATGAAACTTTTATACTGCTCAGCAATGTAAAACATATTTATCTGATGTCCTGGCTTTTAAATGTTTCATGCTGAAACAAAAAATTGAAAAAAGCACCGTTGCTGAAGTGGTGGAAGCCCCTGCCTGCTGTAGCCAACATATCTTTCCTTGCGCTCCAGTGGCTCAGCGTGTATCTCTAACTAACTGAGCAGAGCGCCAAAGCTGGACGCTGTCAGAGAGAGAGACAGAGAGAGACGAGGGGTTGGGGGAGATGGGGGGGGTGAAGGAACCCGTCCCCTCACACTGACGCTGTCGTGGTTACTTTCGCTCCGCGGGCAAGAGGTATCCCCTGCTCCCTTTCTACGGTGCATATTAACGCAGCAGCCACGGTTGCCTGGCAACCGACTCCCCACAGAGACGGACGGTATTTTGTGACAGAGGCCAGGATGAGGGTCTCCCCTGTGCAATATTGTGTGAACATATGACTGTGTTTGATGTGAAATATGCAGGAATGACCTGCCATTAATCAAGGCGTGTGGGATTTGTGTGTTCGCGTATGTTTTTTTGGCTCCAGTCAAAGTTGGGCGACTGTGATCGTGGCCCGTGGATCATAGAAGCAGTGAGTAACAGTCAACTTTGGTGAGATTTGACCTGCAAAAAAAAAGCTTTCCTGACAGTGTTCACTTTTGCAGGGACGTAGAGTTGTAGTGTGAAACCCAGGAAGCAGTTAAAGCTGATCTATTCCATTTTCTAGTATTGCTAAAAAAGTTTGCGCACAGTTTACAAATACAACTGTTGTGTACATTTTAGGAGTGTTATTAGGTTATGTGAAACTAAATCATTGATATTAGAATATTAGAAATATTCATTTTCAATAACATAATTCACAAAAAAAATAAAAAAATAACAGGGACTAAACTATAACTCGTCTCATAATCGATGTTCGCTCTTCTTTTAACTTCAAGCCCAGCTGTCACCATATTGACGTGGAGGTGACAGGTTTGCTCTCAATTCCATAGTGGGTGAATGTAAGCATCTCCTTTCTGAATGTCTTGGATTTTACGTTTGGGGGCTGAAGCGACTGAAAGGCAAAATAAAAGGTGTAGAGTATGTCAACGCATTAATACAAAGACACAGTGTCAGCCCAGCTTATGGTGTGTGTGTATGTAGGTGGTTGTGTGTGTCAGGAAAGAAAGGTACTCCGGCACCAGGTGCAAACGTGTGTTTGCATGTCTGTTTCACCTTCCTACATTCATATAAACTTTCCTCCACATGTATTCACAGTTCACATCTTCCTTCTCTCTTGCCTAGAAATGTAGGGGAACTCACAGACAAGAACACGTAATATTGATCTAATGTGAATAACCTCCAGGACATTTTCAGTGCAATCCGACACCAGGACGAACGCTCCCGTCCCGGTCCTCTCCCTCCGACTCTGTTTTCTCACTTCACCTCTGCCAGAGGGAAGGACACAAGCTTTCAGTGTTTGAACTGCGAGCGAGAGACTTATCTCTCGGTTTTTCAGGAGACATGACTCACCCAGGTCATGCCACCCATTTCTCCTTCCTTTTTTTTAAGCAGTTTTACTACTTGAATATTTATAGTTATTCATCTGTTGGGCCTTCTCAAAGGGACATATCTCTGCAAGAGGACAGAATCAAATGTTCCATCCTCAAATATTTTGTTATGACTTTACACCAGTCTGCTTGGGTTTGAATTTAATATTTTAGGTGTGTTTCTTTCAGCCTTTTTTATGTCACTGATTCTTAGAAAGATACATAAAAGAAGTCAGATGTCATCTTTAATGCTGAACAATGAGGTTCATATTTCAGAAATGCAGGTAAAAATGTTTTTTTTGAGGTTGTGAAATCAAATAAAACATAAAATAAAATTGAAACTAGATTTTACTTTTACGTGAATGGTTGTGGTTGCTGATGGAAATCTTCTAAATGGGTAACAGCTGCCAACAAATCAGATTAGGCTCCTGGGTCCTTTTGTTGCTTTGCGCACAAAAGGACCTGAAATGGACAGTAATAAAAATGAAAATGCAAAGGAAACATTCCCTCCGAACTGAAACCACTGGTGTGCATAATTTCCTTGCATACTTCTCAGTCCCCTGCCTCAAAATAAATTTAACTTGGACCATTGCTGCCTACATAAGGATTTATAACAATTAATCAGGGTGTCCATTGAATCTGTTCTTGTCATCTGGTAATCAGATCAGTTTCTTCTGGTTGATCTTCCTCTGGCTCACATAAATTTCCATCAATAACATCATTCTCAACTCAGGCTCACACTGGTATGCTCATCTAAATTGTTATCCAGCCAAATGTCAAGTGTGTCTGAACTCTTTAAACTAACTACAGAGTGAGGTGGGATTTTCCCATTATTAAACCTGCACAAATCCACATGCGTATGTTAACAAGAGATCAACAGACCATCTGAAAGGGGCCGTTCAAATCGATGAACCTAAAGAGAATCATCACAAAGAAAGTGTTACATGTACAAAACATTCAAGCATCTCATGTCAGCTTATTCCTATGTTGTTATATATTCATTTTCTATTCAAATAACTATGAACTCTGTTGAGCAGTTAAACAATTTTAAATAATTCATTGGGGGGCCTATATGTTACAAAAATTGTTTTTGTATCTGTTGCTCTTAAAATGCTCTTAATCTGCACGCCATTAACTATAGCGGGCCATAAATATACTATCTGCTATCTACAGTTTGCTCTGCGTCTCCCTATCATTTTAACATTCAAACAATCATTTAATTCAGGTGAAGCCATATAAACGTAAATAACTTTCCCTGTAGTAGCAGGTAAGAAGGACCCTGAGGTGAAGTTGGCTTACAGAAATATGTTTCTGAAGTGAAAGTGAGATTTAAATAAACAGTGCTGGGAAGGTGTCAGTTTTCCACTGTAAAAAGCTTTGAGTTAACTTTAATTAATTTCACATGGTAAGCTGCACTAGCAGAGCTTCATGAGGTACATCTGAGGACATAAAGTTATTTACTGCAAATTAGTGTGAGAGAAAACTCATGCACAAAAATGCCAGGTATTAGTGTTTAGTTTTAGATTCAAGGGCAAAGCTAATGGAATCTGAAAGTCTTAGCGAAGAAGTAATCTACAATTACTGCCCCTGGTTTTCCTCATCACATCTGCTCTGTGTTTGTATTCACTCGTTCAACTTGTGCTTTCTAATTTGTCCTTCACGGAACACAGCTCAGTAATGCCACCTTATTAATTATTGAGAAGCTAGAGAGTCGTGCCCCATACGATCAAAGATAAACAATCTGTGAAGTTTTGTTCTGTAAACCTTTTTTATTCGCGGTGAAGAAACATCAAAACTTCACCTGAAGGTCGGAAAAAACAACACAGTGTTGGTCTTGGAAAAAAAAGCTTCCTAAAAAACTGCACAAAACTTCAATCTCAAAAGAGGGATATATATTTTTTTGTGGAGGTAAAGACATGCGGCGGATGGTTAAGCGGGAAGAGTGGTTGTATGAGGCTAAGGAGTAAGGCGTGTCATGGCAGCCATTAATCCTAATTAGCAGACAGCATGACAGCAGCATATGGGTGTCCTCCAGTCACAGAGTCAGACGGCTGCTCTCCCAATCCTGCTCTTTTCACCAAGGCAAGGGGAATAAAATATTCAAACTGTGAAAGATGTTTTTATTCCTCTATTTCATATGGGAGAGATGGATGGGTGATAAGCAGAGGCTGGACAATGTAAAAGCATTCCTGTTGATGCTGTAGTAATGTGATCCTAGTAACCTCAAGTTGGCACGCTGTATGGGCTAAATAATGTTAAAAGAAATAGAAAAGAAGAGCCATTAAAGATTGATTTGAAAGTTTTGATTCTGCTTCAGTGGTTGAAAGTCTGATAGAAGAAGAAAAACGCTTGACCTTCAGAAAATTACTTTTAAAACAGCTGTAGTAATGCTTTTAGGCCTGATTGGTCAAAGCCTGTTGCAGGACAGCATACGTCTTGGCTTCTCATTGGCATTTTCATTCAATTATTTCATATGGAAGCTTGATAATCAAATCAAGTACTACTTGTTCATGGAAGTCTGATTTGACCTAAACGTCAAGATTCTAGTAGTCTTCAACAAACGGCTTTTAAGATAATTCTGTATTTTATTCCAGATGATAGCTGGGAGATAAATTAGTAGTCATATTGTGCAGATTTAATATTTTAAAATGAATGAAAGCACAACATTTGAGTTGGAAGGCCATACAGCTAATTTACTTAATTTATTTAGTTGTTCCTTGCGTTTACATACTGAAACAATGTGTTTTTCTGACAGATGTGGTATTGAACGAGACTACTTTAAACATATTATTTGGAATTTAACAGCCATGCATTAGCAGATAACCACGCAGGCGTGACAACGACAAACCTCCGAGATGCTCAGACTCTCTCTCCAGAGATATGCTCTGCATCAGGGGAAGAGCAAAAGAAGCAGCCTGAGAGAATACTAACGAGAGCGTTTAACACAGAGTGTTTGATTGCTTCTTTTGATATCCCAGGCAGAGAAGCTGCCTCAACGGATATCATCTCAAAAACCTCAGGTCAATCCTTCTGAAACTCACACAATTCTTTTCCTCTCAGCGTTCCTCTCTGCCGTGCTTCTCTCTCCAAAGGGGCCAGCCGGATATCCCCGAAGCCTAATCTCAAACTGCTTACATCAAAAGCCTGTCAGCCTGAGCGTACAAAAGCCGGTTTTCTGAGAGCGGCGGCTTGTCCGACTGGAACACTCCAGCGCAGCTTTCATTTTCATCCGCCCGACGTTGGCGAGAGAAAAGCGCGTTGTGGTAGTCCATCTGGAGACGTCTGTGGGTTAGCACGCGCATAGCACACTTCACAAGTGTTTTCTTTCCATGGAAATACATTCAAATGTATTCCAGTTTACATCGCTTCCCGAGCGTTAACTTTAAAGTCTAAACGTCTGCGACACAAACAAAGCTTCATCATCGGTCGGGCTGAAACTCGGGATGAAAAGGCACGAGGCAATCAGCTTTGATGTTGAGCTCGTTCAATATTGCTGTCAACTTTCAAAGTCAGCTGTGGGGCCGGCAGGTATATGATACGTCTACCCTCTGACTTCAGTGGAAACAGTAAACAACATCTTGCTTTGTGGGATTTTACGCTTGTGTGACATATTGCATATATATATACTGAGCCCGTACAAATTGATGTAGGTTGTATAATAAACAGCTTCCTGAATATTGTGGCTTGTGTGGTTTTGGCAATAAATGACATGAATA